ACAAAATCCCACGTCGCTTTATCACAGAGAATGCACTGCAGTGTTGCAAAACCATGAGATTTCTTTCTCATACTCTTTCGAATACTAACACCAACACCAACTTGTAAACCATCTGTATTTTGGGAGACCAAGAACATTGCTATTTTCTAGTACTCTTCCGACCCAAGAGGAAATTGAAAGTCTTCCTGCCTTCCCTCGGGCAAATCTGACTCTGCGCCTCCTGTTGGGAAGTGGAGCCTTTGGAGAAGTGTATGAAGGGACAGCAGTAGACATCTTAGGAGCTGGAAGCGGAGAAACCAAAGTAGCAGTGAAGGTAACGTGGTTTTAACTCCTTGACATGTTATGCATATTTACATAGATTTGCATGGGTGCAACTATAATGAAAGATGAGTGATCTTAACTGAAAAGAGAACTAGAAGGTAGGAGACTATTCACGGCTATAGAAATCACTTTTTCCCCCCTTCCATTTCCTACATAAGCTCTGAAATTAATACTAATCTCTATGATTACTAATTAGTGAAGACCCAGCAGTTTCCCCCTTCAAATATACTGTAAGAGAAGTGAGGTGGTTAAGTACATTCTCAAGGTAGGTAATAGGGCAGATTTTAAGTATTTTAGACTTGTGGCCATATCATGTCAGTTGCAACTATGCCACTCTATCATTCAGTATGCAAACCAATGTGCGTGATTATGTTCCAGTTAGACTTTATTTATGAAAACTGAAGTTTAAATTTCACATAATTTTTATGTGTAATGAAGTTATATTCCCTTTTTTAAATTTCTTCAACCATTTAAAAATATAACATGTCAATTATACCTCAATAAAGCAAGAAAAAAATGTCACAACCATTATCAGATAGCAAGCTGTACAAAAATAGGTGACAGGGTGGAATTGGTCCACAGGCTATATTTTGCTGACCTGTAATTGAGCAATATCTTCATCACAACTTGTTAGGAATCTATTGCTTTGAGGGTGGGCATATAATCAGAAAAGTTGGCCAAATTTTCTGAACTGGTTTAAATAAGTGTTTATTTTTCTTACATAACAGGTGACTACTGGCTTTAGTGCAGTGCCGGTAGACCTGAAATTCTCTTGACTTTGTACATGTGTGTTGCCTTGGTCCCAAGATGGTTGCCAAGGAATCAGGCATCACATCTTCATTCAGGCCAGAACACTCATTGACCAGAACTGAGCCATATTTGCAAAAGAGGCTGGAGAGTTACAGGCCATGCTTTTCATGATGATCTCAGACCAGTTGCCTGGGACTGGGCACCTTGCCTCTAAGAAACAAATTAGGGTATTGTTAGCAAGGAACCCTGGGAAACAGATGTTGAATAGAAAACTCTGAAAATTAAGAAATTAGCTTAAGCACCAAATTTGTTCTCTTTTTAAATTTTTTACATTTGGAGAGACTTTGTGTAAATATTACTAGGTCTTTTATCTATCAGATATTTCACTTAAATACTTCCAATAACAGGAGCTGTCTTTTGAATAGGTTTATGCACATGTACTATCCATTATTTATTTTGCAATTTCAGGGTGGATATTATAAAACAAAACAAAGATTATCTCCATTAATACACTGAGCTCACAGAAATGTCTGCTATACTGATTCTTGACTTGTTTTTATGTTGCACAGACTTTGAAGAAGGGCTCCACAGACCAAGAAAAGATTGAATTCCTGAAGGAGGCATATCTGATGAGGTATCAGGGAAGCTCTAAAATAATTTTTGCTTGGTATGGGTAGGAAGATTTTGCATCTGATTTAACATTCAAAATCACCTGACATAAAAAATCATGCCCCAAATGAGTGTGGCTGAAGTCTAAATGGAATTATGCCTGTAATGACAAGTATTTTATAGAATCCAGTCTTCTAAGTCTGGGCACAGGCAGTCCTCCACCAAAAGGTTTTCCTTTTACCTTCAATAAAAAGTGTGTTTTGCAAGTGACATCTGAAGCTGATCAGCGTTAAACATGCTTATGTTCTTCTAGATACATGGGAATGGTTGGAGTAGACTGAGTAAGAGAGAGTTCTCTTAAGTACAGTGATGCCAATGAAAATATCCCTTGTCTTGGTAAACTTGACTTCAGTGTTAGAGTTAGTTGTTGAGCATGAAAACTGATGAAAGACATCTTAACGGGAAGACTGGGGCAGTGGTTCTAGTTATTCGATTGGAATTTATTTGCTTTGACATCTTGAGGAAACAGTTGTAGCCAAATTTGCCTGTCTGAATTGAACCTCTAAAAAAGAAAGAATAATATTTCATACTTGTGATGACAAAAAATATAATGTTTTCAAATACCTTTTGAAGAAGGAAATTAGTTCAAATTACTTTCTTTTCCAAAACACAAAATACTTAATAGAAACATGATTTCTTCTAAAACACACGCTGTTCTATCCATATGCACTGGCCACTAGGGGTTGCCATATTACCTCTGAAAGGCAAGAACACAGACTATCACTTGGAAAAAAGAGGCCTTCATTTGTCAGAGAAAAATAAAATCAGGGGTTTTGATGGAAACTATAGATAATCAATTGCTCTATTCCGCGAAGGCCCTCAGCTAGGACCTCTGTTGCTGTCATGTCACCGGCCTGTCTCTTTCCACTTTTAGTAAGTTTAATCACCCCAACATTCTGAAGCAGCTTGGAGTTTGTTTGCTGAATGAACCCCAATATATTATCCTGGAATTGATGGAAGGAGGCGATCTCCTCACCTACTTGCGTAAAGCCCGGATGACAACGGTAGGAAATGGGGTCCCCAGTATTGATTTTATAAAGCAAATGCCCTATTCCAAGATTGTATTACAATGGAAAAAAGTAAAAACAAACAAACAAAACCAAGCCATCAAAATAATAAAAACACATATTCAAAAACAATTTAATTATCAAATCTCTGCTGGGCATTTATTATACAACTGTGAAGTATGTGGCTCTTGCTTTTATTTTATTTCATTATTTTTATTTTTTGTTAATCCTCACCCAAGGATATTTTCCCATTGGTTTTTAGAGAGAGTGGAAGGGAGAGGGAGACACACAGAGAGAGAAACATCAATGTGAGAGAGACACACTGATTGGTTGCTTCCTGCACGTGCCCCGACCAGGGCTGGGGATTGAGCCTGCAACAGAGGTATGTGTCCTTGACCAGAATTGACCCCGGAACCCTTCAGTCTGAGGGCCCAACGCTCTATCCACTGAGCCAAACTGGCTAGGGCACTCTTGCTTTTAAGGAACTTGTCGTGTGGGAGGGAGGTAAGTCACATATAAATAACCCATGTAAGGTGGAAAATGGGAGGACCCATTAGAGTGGAGTAGAGAGTCTACTGTTGAAGCACAGAGGAGAGAGAGATGATTTCCAGCTGAAGAGTCCTGGAAAGACTTTGTGGAGGAGAGCCAATCAAGGTGGGAGACAGAAAACTCTCTGAAAACGCATGAGTTGTGAAAGGCTTTGACCAGGGATAGACCTGGGTAGAGGTTCAGTATGTCCAGAGGAGCAAGATTCTCTGTGAAGCCAGTCTTCACAAGTAGGGTAGGTTTTGCCAAGAGCAAAGCAGAGCTCCATTCACAGAGGAACAAATGAACCAGTTGGGACACTCGGACACAGGCCATGAGGTTGGTATCTGGTGGACCTGAGCAGGACTACAGAGGACTGATTCTAGGGAGTAAGTTCTAGCCTAGTTATCACACCGAGGTGTGATTGAATGGGACCATGGCAATGCTGAGTCCCAGAGTATCAAGATTCTCCCTATTTTGGGGACAAGACATGAGCTTGCTGGGCATGTAAAAACACTTAGGAGCCCCTATCTATGAGGGATTAGGGGGTTTCAAGGTTGGGAACCATTATAGATGCTCAGTGGAAGATGTGGATGGAAATCAGGACTAAGGAGGGCATGCCATGAAACAGTGATAACAGGAATATCGAAGAGAGGTTGAGAAATGCAGAGCAGGTATGAAAAAACGTCCAGTGTCCCAGTGTGACCCCAGCACAGATTGTGAGAGGAGAAACTATGGAAATAAATGGACATAAAGAGAGACTGATGCAGCCTGGGGCTGCCATGGAGGTTGCGCTCAGGAATCTGTAATAAATCCTACAGGCAGTGGGTCACAACGGAATGAGCTAATTAAAGCACAAGGAGGCTGGAGAGGTGGGGAGTTTGGGATGAGTCAGGGATGATAAAGGCCTGAACCAGGGTAATTGCGGTGAAATGGCAAGGGACAGAGTTTTTCCATCTGGTACTAATAAAAACTTCAGTTGGCTTTTTATTTTCCCCCCCATGTAGAAATCATTGTAACCATACAGGCTCAATTTATTTGGGCTGGCTCTCTTAGATGTGACCCTGAAAAAGAGTCTGTTTTGCTCATATGAGGAACAAGCCCATTGTCATGACTGACACAATAGTGTGACCTTGGGTAAATAATTAAACTGGTGAGCACTGATTAAACTATCATTATTTCTGCTTAGGAGAGCAGCTGCTGTTTATTAAGTGCTTTTTATATACCAGCCAGATTACATATCTTATGTGAAAACCTACCAAGGCAGGCTTATTATTTCCACTTTACCCATGAGAAAGCTGCTGAGTGAACAAAGCAAAGTGAGCTAGAACAAAGCAAACTAGAGGCCCGGTGCATGAATTTGTGCATGGGTGGGGGTCCCTTGGCCTGGTCAAAGTCACACAATGAGTAAGTAGCAGAATCAAGTTTCAAATCTTGGTCTGTCAGAACTAATGCCCCGTTTCCAACAAAGGTTCCATATTGCCTCTGCTTACTAAATGTAGTCTTTTTTATGTATATCTGGGTAGAAAGCATATAAATATAGTTCTTTTCCTCTTTGCTTGAATTCTTGCAACCATAACTAAAACTTTCTTTAAAATATCATGTATATGTGTGCACATGCATATATATGAAGCCATTTATACATATCTATGTATATGTGTAGTTTGTGCAAATTGGAAAAGTGCCTAATCTTTTTCATTTCTTACAGTTTCATGGTCCTTTACTCACCTTGGTTGACCTTGTAGACCTGTGTGTAGATATTTCAAAAGGCTGTGTCTACTTGGAGCAGCTGCACTTTATTCACAGGTACAGTGATCCTGGATACAGGTTCCTATGGATATTGGCACATTAGCCATCTGTAGTTTGGATAAAATATAGAAAATAAACACTTTCAGTCCTTTAAAATAGCAATAATTCTAAAAAAAGGTCTCTCTTCTCTACAGACCTGTTAGTATTACTTGTCTGATCTCTGGAACTGTATTATTATTATTATTATTATTATTATTATTATTATTAATTAAATATAGCAGCTCGGAATTGCCTCGTCTCGGTGAAAGACTACAGTAATCCATCACGGGTAGTGAAGATTGGGGACTTTGGACTCGCAAGGGACATCTACAAAAATGATTACTATAGAAAGAGGGGAGAAGGCCTGCTCCCTGTTCGGTGGATGGCTCCGGAAAGTTTGATGGATGGAATCTTCACAACGCAGTCTGATGTGTGGTGAGCTAATAGGACACAAAGAAATGTGGGCAGAACTATCCAATGTCAGAGGTGAAAATGATCTTAAAAACTCCTCTAATCTTTTTATTATTATTATCACTAGAGGCCCAATGCATGAATTCGTGCATGGGTGGGGTCTGGCCAGCCCAGCCCCAAATTGTAGCAGATTGGGGCTGGGCCTGTTGGGAGGATGAGATGGCGGGAGGTTGGCCAACTGGCCCACCCCAATGGAGGCCCAATCAGGGCCAGGCTGGCTGGGGGGAGGGGCCGAGGGCGATTGGCCAGTGGGCCCCGCCCCCCCATTGGGGTGGGGGGCTGATCGGGGGTCAGCGACCAGGGGAAGGGCTGTGGGAGGTTGGCTGGCCAGCCCCACCCCTGATTGGTGTGGTGTGGCTCATCAGGGGCAGAGCTGGCTGGGGAAAGGGGCTTCGGGTCGATCAGGGTGGTGGGGGCCCATCAGGGGTGGGGCTGGCCAGGGGGAAGGGCCACAAGAGGGTTGGCTGGCCGCTTCGCCATCAATTAGGGTGGGAGATGCCGATCAGGGGCGGGGCCAGCTGGCCCCACCCCTATTGGGTCGGTTGGCTGGCTGCAGTGGGCGTCATAGCGACAAGTTGTTCTGGTCCTTATGGTGTTCCAGTCGCTGGCTTTTTATATATATAGATTATTGTTGTTGTCAGTATTACAGATGTCCTCCATTTTCTCCCCCTTTGCCACCCTCAACCCTGCCCCACCCCAGGCCTTCACCACTCTATTGCCTGTGTCCATGGGCTATGCAAGTTCTTTGGTTAATCTCTTCCGCTCCCCTCTGAAATCTGCCAGTCTATTCCAGTCCGTTCCATGTCTCTGGACCTATTTTGTTTGTCAGATTATTTTGTTCATTAGATTCCACATATAAGTGAGATCATGTGATATTTGCCTTTCTCTGACTGGCTTATTTCACTTAGCATAATACTCTCCAGGTTCATCTATACTGTTGCAAGGGTAAGAGATCCTTCTTTTTTACTGCTGCATAGTACTCCATTGTGTATTGTGTTTAATGTGAGAAAACAGAAGACCAGAGAGGTTGCAGTTTGCCGTAAGCTAAAGTGAAAGCTGGTGTCTAAAGAGGACTATTCCTGGGTCTCAGCAGCTTACATACCTCCCTCCAATTGGTTTTGATCCTTTATCTTACTAGTGTACATGAAATGGTTACATTTATTTCAGGTATTTTATTCCTCCCCAAAATGTAGAGGCTTTGACTGACAGGAATTGGGACCTATGAATTAATATCTAAGTATGTGTCTAAATGCCTACTATTTGGGGATGTTTGGTCATTCATTTATAAGTAGACTTTAAATTACAGATCTCAAAATCATTAGAACATTGGGGAGATTTAGAAATCTTTATTATTTGAATAGAATCCCTCATTTTTGCTTGTTGACCACAAACTTTCGATGAGAGCTGCTCAAAATGTAAGGATTTGTTTAATAACTTTTAAGCTGAACTGGCCCTAGGTACAGTTGGGGATGAGATAAAATCTAGGTTCAGTGCTGCCAGTTTTTATTCATACCTTCCCTCTCCATGTTTACTTGCACTCAAACTTAGAAAAACAAACAAACTGAACTGCTTTCTTGCTCACCCAGAAGTATGTCTGCATAATGGAGGTCTGCAGTTCTCCAGTGGTTCAGCCAGAAAGGAGGAGCAAAGTGTGTGTGTGTGTGTGTGTGTGTGTGTGTGTGTCCCCACTGAGCATTCCTATCACCTCTGAAGTGCTGCTGGTAGGCAGTTGCTTGTTCTATTTTCTTTTTAAATATATTTTTATTGATTTCAGAGAGGAAGGGAGAATGAGAGAGAGACAAAAGCATCAATGATGAGAATCATTGATTGGCTGCCTCCTGCATGCCCCACACTGGGGATCAAGCCGGCAACCTGGGCATGTGCCCTGACTAGGAATCGAACTGTGACCTCCTCATTCATGGGTCGATGTTGAACCCCTGAAACCATGTTGGCTTGGGCTCTTGTTCTACTTATTCTTGTGATCAACTTGCTTTTTAAGCCTCCCATTTGCTTTTTATGGACCCAATCATTCTAATCACAAGATGTAGCCCGTTGCCCCAGAAGTATTATGTTGGGGAAACTACTGTAAACATGATGTTTGTAATAAGTAGAATTAAAGCAAACTCTCTAATATCCTTAGGTCTTTTGGAATTCTGATTTGGGAGATTTTAACTCTTGGTCATCAGCCTTACCCAGCCCATTCTAACCTTGATGTTTTAAACTATGTGCAATCAGGAGGGAGACTGGAGCCACCAAGAAACTGTCCTGATGATCTGTAAGTTATAATTATGTTAACATAAATACCCAAAAACAAAAACACAAGCACATGCACTCTAATGCTTCATTGGTATGGTATTTTAAAATGAAAACTGGTCTTCATATATTTGTATATCCTACATAAGATAGAAATTGATTTATATTAAATTTATTAAATACATGAGCTTTTAAAATTTATATATACACATTATATTTCACTTCAGAAACAAAATTTGGAAGAGCAGAATATATTTATAGTCCTGGTTAAACGAATTATAAGAAATAAAAGCTCTGTGTGTGTGTGTGTGTGTGTGTGTGTGTGTAATGTGGGGTGTGTATGTGTGTGTGTACCATTATATTTTGGAAGCTATGATTTGGCTAATATCTTCATCTGCAAATTAAAATATTCTATTAAGTAGGAATGTATTGTGTAAAAGTTGGATTGCATTTGTTAACATAGCTGATCTTGGGATAGAGTACTGCTAAAAATTATAGAGGTTGTTATCTGTTTATGATCTAAACATGTAATGACTAAGTATTAGTGACTATCAAATTGATCCTAGCCACTATTAAATTTTAATAAACTTGTGATCCTCAAAGAGTAGGTGATTTTGATCTAATTATAAAGGAAAAACAAGACAAGTTATTTTGCTGAGTTCTAATCCACCTTTTTGTGAACAACCTCAGCAGAAATATCGTCTTGAGACTTTTCCCAAGAGGTGTTTTACCCAAGAAGTTTCTGAAAGAACATACAAGCAACAAGTATAAATTTCTCTGCTATGTGCACGACACCATGCTAAGGACCGTATGATATACAGAGGTGTTTAAAACAGGGGCATGAGTTTTCAACATCTCAGATTGTATTTTGAAAGAAAAGACGCACACGTGGAGCAGCTGGATAACAAGCCAACATGTAATAAAGTGCTAAACTCTGTGGTACAGACAAGTGCAAGAGGAATTAGCAGTATGCGGATACACACCACGATTGTACTTCCTTAACTATGTTGTTATTTAGAGGATTATTCATACCGGAGCCAAAAGATGATTAAGTACTGGGCACCTTGGTTGGATGTTTTACTGGTGAATGTGTTTGTATTATTTAAATCTTCCAGCTAGAAGAAGATTTGAATCGCTGATTGTTTCTGGCGTAGCTTTTACAGCCTCTGGGATATTGACAGGGAGATTAGGTATACACAGACCTGAACAAGTTTAGTGACAGTGACTAAAAATATGCTTCAGGTATTTGGGGGAGATGGGGAGAAATTTGTAAGTTAGGAGTAAGAAATGATACACAATTTGAAAACCTTTGATCTAGAGTTTGAGAAAAAAATACCCCAGCATACCTAAGCATGAAACACATTTTTTTTTGTGTGTGTGTATTTTTTTTTTATTTTTCGCTAAAAGTATTACAAAGGGTATTACATAAGTGTCCTTTCCCCCCTCCCCACCCTTGACAAGCCCCTGCCCTCCCCTACCCCCCAGTGTCTTATGTCCATTAGCCATGGTTATATGGATGCATACAAGTCCTTCGGTTGATCTCCTACTCCCCTCCCCTCTGTCCCACTGCAGTTCGACAATCAGTTTGAGGCAGCTCTGCCACTGTATTTACCATTGCCCAAAAGTTTGTAATGGTCTTAATTATCCATGAAAGAGTGAGATCATGTGGTATTTTTCCATCATTGACTGGCTTGTTTCACTTAGCATAATGCTCTCCAGTTCCATCCATGCTGTTGCAAATGGTAAGAGTTCCTTCTTTTTAACAGCAGCATAGTATTCCATCGTGTAGATGTACCACAGTTTTCTAATCCATTCATCTACTGATGGGCACTTAGGCTGATGAAACACATTTTTATTAAATAATTAGCAACCTAATCATATTTTTGCATTATATATATATATATATATATATATATATATATATATATCACAGAAAATGTCCCCAGAATTTCAGTCACATGAAATTTTCATTGTGCTATTAGAATTTTATCAGACATAGGCACTTTAGGAATCATTGGTATGGTATCAGTCACTGTTGTACATTTTGATTGATGTGTTCACTTATATAGTTTGGGGAGGACAGAGGTGGATAACAAATTATTTATTGTGGAACAAAAAAATGTAGGTTTGTTGAACTTTAATCTAATCCAAAGGTATCAAAAAATGCAACTGGAAGGAGGAGGGAGAATGCATGCTAGGAAAGTGCTATGAAAAGAATATTCTACATAATTTTATCTTGATTATTCAGTTGGATACATTATTGCTCTACTGTTGTAAGAATATAGTTTCCATGAAACCAAATTTTCCATCGGTGGTTTTGAAGTTCATTTGAACATCAGTAATTAAAAAGTAAACAATGCTCTCAGCCCTCCCTCAGAGCCCCGGAAGGGTTAACTCATTGCCCAGCAGGAAAACAAGATGTGCTAGGAAATGGAGCTCAGAGCAATGCCATTCAATCTGGCTCTGGCCTTAAGTTGTCATGATAAAGATTAACTACTCTCCTTAGAGTACAGAGGGAACTGATTTTTATTTGAAGCCGTTCTCTGAGATCACAGGCCAAGCTTAGAGGGTTGAAAGTCTGCACTGAGCCATCCTGCACCTTCTATTCACTGCTTAAATTCCCAGCACCTGGATGCACTCTGGGTCAGGTGAACCCGCGGAGAGCTATGCTGTACTCAACTATTAATGGAATGCAGAAGTTCAGAGCATTCTCCTCTTCTCCCCATCGTCCGGGATGTGTGGTGGAAAGCCCAGTCCTAGGTATTCCCTTCAGCTTTCAGTTCACACAACAACCATACCATTCTCAAGAGAAAACGGGTTCAAAGGGCAATCTCCTTCAAGAGAGAGCTCTTTGGGGTTCTCCGACAGACTTATCACGGGGGCAACTGGAATTCCCGGGGAGTCTCTCAAATGGAGACAGCAACAATGGGAGAACGTGAGGTGCACCATCTTATTTTTACCCCTGAAAAATAGGTGCACCTAGATGTTAATTGAGCCTCTCTAGGGTTGTCCGGCCAGTTTGAAATGAATAAAACTAAAAAAAAAAAGTCCGTACCCTTTTACGTAATGATGTTTACTTTGAATTTATATTAGTGCCATGGAGTTTTTATCTGTCGAATTTGAATTGCTTTCTGAATCCAAGGCATTTATTCATAGACACTGAAAATGAACGGTTAATGAGTCTCATGGTATTTTGAAAAAGAATTGAGGCAAAGAGGAGTAAAGGGTTGGCATTGTAAATGAAGGAATTTGAACCTGAACACTTAGCTTAAATACCTATAGAAACTCGTTTCCTTAAAAATGAAAGATGCCATGGAGTTTTTATCTGTTGAATTTGAATTGCTTTCTGAATCCAAGGCATTTATTCATAGACACTAAAAATGAACGGTTAATGAGTCTCATGGTATTTTGAAAAAGAATTGAGGCAAAGAGGAGTAAAGGGTTGGCATTGTGAATGAAGGAATTTGAACCTGAACACTTAGCTGAATGAGATATTTCAAATGTGATGAGTGTGTATCTGTGTAGAGCTGGAATATCCAGCCCAGGTAAATTTTAACAACAGTAAAGTACCTATATGTATATTTAGACTAATATGCTTGAGTATTTGTAAGTACAAGTTAATACACATCTCTAATGCATGATATTGAATTATGACAAATGCCTATTTATAAGGGAATACCGCTATGCCAAAGGAATAGTTGTTATTAATTTACTTGAAAGATGTAAAAACATGTATTTTCAGATTCTTCATTTTATTCCATTCCGAGCTTAATGCTATTTAAGGACTCAAGTCGAACCCTTTTCATTTAAATGACTTGTTTTATAGAGTTTCTCTTTGCTTAATCTAGGGCAACTTAGTATTCATTTTTTTCCCCCTGGATGTGGGAGAGAAAGGTTTATATACTATCTAAAATATGCCAAATGTTTTTACCATCATAAAATTAAGAATAATGATTAGATTCCATGTAAATTAAGTCTCTGTAGATGAAAATAGTAATATCTGCTTAAATAAATTCTATAGATTAAACAAGAGGCTGAACTTTTGGAAGGTGGTGTGAAGTGGTGAGGTGCAGTGTGGCCAAGTGGCAACTATAAAAATGGCTTCTCTCTCCTTTTCCTGCTCCCCCTCCCCTTCCTTCTTCCTTCTTGCTTTTCCCCCCCTTTCTGTCCTAAATAATCTCCTTTAAGTGTCTTAAAATTCTTTGTAGAATGAGGCAAGTCATAAGTAAATAAAATAAGTAAAAACTTCATAATTGAAGTAGACAGGTCTTGAGAGAGTCTATCTATTCTTTGCCAATATCTTTGATTCATAACTTTATTTTTCTCAGGATACGCTTCCTGTGGAGAATTATACTTTACTTTCCCCCTTCACTTCCTAAAATAACTCTTAGACCAGTCATCAAGATTCTACTTTAACTATTACTTAAAATATTTAACAACAAAATTTTATTTCAAATCTAACCATTGGGATCTTTTTATCATCCCTGTTTCTAAATGCCACAGATTATAAAGAAATTTGTAAAAGATTAGGTTCTCAGCCATGATTCTAATTTTCAAAAACATAGAGCCAAATTTGGCAAATTCTATATCCAGAATGTAAATTCCTTGTCATAAATGTGAAATGACATCAGATCAATACTAGAAAATAGATCAATATCAGGTCTCTCCATAGTACTTCATATTGAGTACCAACTCTAACCTGAGGTGCTTGTCAAAAAATGAAAGAGATGGAAATAGAATTTGCATACCACATTATAATGGAGACTATAATTCCTAAAATAGATACCAGCTATTTTAAATACAATACCCATAATGATTTCCGGATCATTGTTAACTATGATTGAATATATACTTACAGTAGCTCCATTGCCTTTACCTTAGTTCAAACCTCCTTTATCTCTCACTAGTCTTCTGTAGTAAATTTCTGACTTCCAAATTGCCCTTCTACAACCCATTTTTCACACGTAGCCAGTTAGAGTAATCTTTTAAAAATATAAAAATCATGCCTGTTTAAAAACTTTCAACCGCTTACCATTGTAGTGTCATAAATCCAGCTCCTGGCCTGGTCTCCGAGACCTGCGTGATCTCGCCTTCCTCCTCTGACCTCATCTCGTGTGCTCTCCTCCTCAATGATGGCTCTTCAGCCACACTGGCTTTCTTTCAGGTTCTACAACGTGCCAAGCTCTTTCCAAATTTAGAAGTTTACACATGCTTTTTCCTCTTCTAGTGTGTTCACTGACTCCCATCCCCACCCTATTCCCATGACCAGCATCTTACTTTCCCACAAAGTTCTTTGGCTTAAATGTCACCTCTGCAGAGGGACCTTCTGTGAGCAACTCACCAAAAGTGTTCCATCTTTATGAGATTTTACATGGTTTTCTTTAGCACTTTTTTTTTTTAGAACTTGCAATTTATAATTTTATAATTACCTGTTGATATAGTAGTCCTAATAATTTTAAATACTTTCCAATTTATGTTTCTTTGTAAGTTTCTCTCTCTTTGCCCCAAATCTGCCTTACAGCTACAAAGAGAGAGAGAGAGAGAGAGAGAGAGAGAGAGAGAGAGAGAGAGAAGGTACTTGATCTTTTTAGTAAGTCAGTAGACTTGAAAACCAAGCCTGGAGGAGAGAGGCTTATCTAAAATCCATTAGCTCCTTGTTAATATACTAAATGCCAGTTTTGGTAACTGGGACCTACAATTCTATATAAAGATGATCTAATTAAAAAAGAAAAAAGGAGGACGTTGATCTAATAAAAAGGGGAAGTGAGTAGAAATACCACTCCTGCTAAGCCCTGGAGAAGTGTAGGAGGAAGAGAGCCTGACAGGCAGAGGGAGGAGGGTGAGGAAGTTGGATATCTAGGTCATGCATCCTCCTCTGTACGGTTCAGTCAGATTAGGTGTGGGCAACATCAAGGGCATGGAGCAACTGCCCACTCCTCCCAGTGTGGGAGGATGGCATGGAGATCATTGAGCAGGGGACCCCCCACCGTGACACGGAGACCCAGCATCCTGAAGGAGGTAGAATGGCATGTCCACACAGAGGATGTCTAGTGTGAACTTTTAAGCCTCCTTTGTTTCCCACCTGGTGTGAACATTTTGTTGAAAGCTAGAGATTAGGCCAAGGAGCGCCCTGTGGGTGTGCAGCACAGACAGGAATGCATTCCCTGGGCCTCGTCAGCAGATATAGGACACAGTGTAGTCTCAGGACAGAAAGGTTATGGTTAGAAAGAGAAAAGGGAAAACCAGTTCACTGGGGAAGGGTCCAAAGACAAAGTAAAGAGATCATAGACAGCACATAGCAGCTGGAGCCTGCAGGACGGCCAGCCCAGTCACTCGATGTAATTCCTGATCATCCTACTCTGAGACTTGTGGAGATCCAAGGGGCGGGGGGTCCAAAGGATGCTTCACTGTGACCCTGTAAATCACACAAGGCTTTCACCCAGCATATATCCTGACACCATCCTGGAGAAGAGGGAAGGAGTATAATTTGCCTAAAAATAAGAGAGATTGAGCTATTATCCAGAAAAGACTGAGCCTTATCTACCAAGATTATTTAAAATATGGAATTGGACTAGATTTTTAAACTATATTCATAAATGACGCTAATTCTCTTCTGCCAGGTGGGGGCTCTGAGAAAGACCTAATTAATTACAAACAGTATAAAAGAGCGACATTGTTTCCTGCTCGTATGAATTGTAATGAGATAAATGTTATCACCTTCTGACATTTACTATATGTATCTCTATGAGGACAGGCGCCACAATGCTGGTGTAATAGGTGTTCAATGAATGAATGAATGAATGAATGAATATTGGTTAAGCATGCTATATAGACATTTCTCAGACAATTGTTAAGGAAAAGGTAATATTTAATCAACCAGCTATTTATGTCTGGGGAAACCGAATCTGTTAATTAACCTGACAGTGTAATGAAGAGTAAAGCCATTAGAATCTAATCTGGTTTCTACCTCTGGTTATCCCACTAAATAACTGTGTGGCTTGGAGTAATCTTAGATTTTGTTTTAGATATTAAGGTCTGAATGTAAAGTCTTTTTAATATTCAATAATTTTTATAGCTCTAGGTTTCCTTATGTGTTAAGTGAGCATTTTCTATCTATCATCTATCTATCTATCTATCTATCTATCTAGCTAGCTATCTATTTGGATTACTAACTGTTAAAATAATGTCAGCTTAAAAAAAAGGTGGTAGCTAATAAAGATAGTAACATTGCAGACTACTATTAAAAAGAAACCAAAAACTTTGTTCTGGTCATTTATATTAATTATGGAAAACTGGCAGTAACTCAAATTCTCTTTCTTCTAAAATTCCCTACCTGGGTTATGTTATCAGTAAGGATTGCCTAATGACTTCCAATCACCATTCACTTTCATGTCTTTACCTACATATCCAGGTGGAATTTAATGACCCAGTGCTGGGCTCAGGAACCTGACCAAAGACCTACTTTCCATAAAATTCAAGACCAGCTTCAGTTATTCAGAAAAATTTCCTTAAACAGTATTTCTCAATGCAGAGAAGAAGCAGACCCTGGTGGAGTCATAAACGAGGGCTTTGATGGTAAGTTTGATTCTTTGTCAAAATGTTCTGCTTTTTCTCCCTTGTAGACTGAACAAGGTTAAAATGGTCATGCTGCTGGGGTGGGGCTGGACTCTGGCTCTATCCTAGAGCCTGTGCTCCCAGACTTCGCAGAGACAGGGCTGGGGTCAGGGAACTGCCCGCACGCTCTCCCCACTTTGTTATCCACTTGTGACCTACTCGACAAGATACACCGATGTTACGTCAAAGTGATTTAGGTGCCAACTTTTGGCAGACTGCATTGAAATTCTAAATAGTGTTAAAAAAAAAAAACAGAGAAGCAGACATAAATATGCAGAATAATGATGCAGGAAGAGTTTAACCGGGAATATAACCAAACTTGGATAATTTAGACAGAAACAAGCAATTCTGTGCCACAGAATTGTTATTTACAATGCATGCAATTCCTGACGATAAGGAATAGTAAGGAAAGTGGAAATCACTAAACATTTTGATAATTGAGATGTGACTGAACAAAAGTGGCCAAGAAGAGAGAAGAAATGGAATAAAAAGTTAGGTTTTGCTTATTTGTAAAGTCATGGAACTTTCCTTTCAAGGTGAACCTAAACTTAATTACCTTTAACAAAAAGAGAATGTGTTTCCTAATAGTTTGCTGCTTTGCATATTTAGCAAAGCAGAGTGATGTCTGTCTTCATTGTAATTGTCAGATACATATAAGAAGACAAAAAAGCCATGGGAGGACTTTTTTGTGAAAAAATAAAGGGTTTTGGGATTATAGGGAGCAATAATACCATGCCTATCGCATGGTCCTACTGACCTAATGGGGTGGGGAGGGAATAGAGAGAGAAGTAACATATCTGGGCATCTAGTAAAAATATCCCAGTGACTTCATCCAAACATTTGTGTAAACATCACCTCATCAGTCCCAGAAGTAATAAAGGAAACAAATCTAAATGCTCCTGTGCTGTGCTAAACATAGCCAGTCAGCCGGCATATGTCTGGTCTGTGAATACCCTGTTTTACTTGGAAGTCTTTATTTTAATATTTCCCTCTTAAAGGGAGGGTCGCTGAGTACATGCCGTCTCTGTGTTTTAAGGTTTGACCTGCAGGCTTTCTATTCAATAGTTTTTAAACAAAAATAAATAAAAATCTACCCACCCTCCCTCCCCCTGCACGTCTCCTTATGCAATAAGATGTACTGATTGCTGAGAGCTTGCCAGGGTCAAGTTACTAAATATTGCTGCTCTAAGTATCACGAACCAACGACATAGTTAGCTAATGGTTTTTCTTTGACAGATGGTGCCAGAAGTTGTATAAAGCATGTATTTGCCTTATATAAAAGTTTTTTTTACAAATAACTCAACAATAGGCAAAAATATTAAAATCACATTTTGTTAGAAAGTTTCCCGATATGCTATTTAATGGGATAAAAGTATAGCAGTGAGTGGCTGGACTTACATTGTAGATTTAAGTTTTTTGTTGAAATTCCAAACTTTTCTTTAGCCTAATTTCTTTAAGCCATTTAGGAACAGCCTAATTTGTCTATGGGTATTATAATATATAGCAAATTAATTTTATAAGTTTCTCAATGGCAATTAGTGCATATTGGTAATAATCATAACATTTAGGTCCTTCCATAGATATTCAGCACTTAGGCACTAACCAAACCTGGCATCTGATAGTTATTTCTGCGGGGAAGGTATTTTACAACACTGTTCAGCTATTCATGTGGTTTGAAATAAGCTGTGATGATATTTGAATGGTAAAGAAGACATGAGATGATGCCAAAAGCTTGTGAGCCTGCAGCTTGGCCATCCTGTTCATCATCAGTGGGAAGGGTCTGGAAAAAAAAAAGAGCACATAATAATAGAGAATAGGAACAGTAGTCCTATGCTCTACAATAAAATAAGCTTTGTGTCAGGTGTAGAACTTGGTAAATAGGTAGATCCATTAAAGTCCAGTGGGAAAAAATAAATACAATGATGCTTCCCTTAGTCCTTTGACATTTTCTTACATTTCAGTTTAAATTCATTGCAAATAAACCCAACCTGGATGTACACCAGGACTCAGTGCAGAGGCTGCAGCCAGCAGGCCTCACCGTGCATCTGAATGCTGTCACACCGGAAGGATGGGGAGGAGAAAGGGAAGGACCATCATCCAGCTACTGAAATAGTCCCGATTTTTCAAATCTACTGTATGAAATAACAATACTATTTCTGATCATAATTTTTTTAATCCAGGTACTAATGTATAATGATTAGAAAGTATTGATAAAAAACAGTTCCCACAATATGCCTGTGTGTATTTATCTTGTATTATGTATTTATCTTTTTGATTACCTAGAACTGTGGTCGGCAAACTGCGGCTCTCGAGCCACATGCGGCTCTTTGGCCCCTTGAGTGTGGCTCTTCCTAAGCCTTAGGAGTACCCTAATTAAGTTAATAACAATGTACCTACCTATATAGTGTAAGTTAAAAAAATTTGGCTCTCAAAAGAAATTTCGATCGTTGTACTGTTGATATTTGGCTCTGTTGACTAATGAGTTTGCCGACCACTGAGTCCTAGAATATTGTGAAATGTTT